GAGAACTAGAAAGGCGAGGCTCACCACCCATTTATCCCTCTGCCTTTCAATTAGCCCCACATGTGATTATCGGCCAGGTTGGCACAATTAACTAACTCAGTGGGGGAGACAGGAGACTTTCATATGAAAGAGGAGAGATTTGGGGTATTGTCACGGTGGGGGAGGTCAAGGTAGGAAAGATAAAGCAATAGGCTGGACAGTTGTTAGGTGGGAACTTGGGTGCAGTAGAAGATACTAGCCCATAAGAAGGAGCCCTGGTGGTGGAGGGGTTATGCATTGGGCTTCAATCCTCATGGTCAGCAGTTTGAAACCACCAGCAGCTCCAAGGGAGAAATTCTGGGCTTTCTGCTCCTGTAAACAGAGCCTCAGAAACCTACAGGGGGTCATTGTGAGTCAGCATTGACTCAGTAGTCATGGCAATGAGTTTGGAGGGGTTTTTTATTGTGTGGCGGGCTTTGGATTTTTTTTTGGAGTTTATAAGAGAGAGAAGAGAAAATAAGAAGCAGGTGAAGAGTAAACTAGGAGGGGGTTGATTAGTAGTTTAAGCTGAAGAATACATAGTTGATCATCTGAAACATAAATTCCCATCTAATTTACAATAAAAGTGTTTTCTAAAACAAACAAAAAGGATACAAAGTGACACATAAGATGAATATTGAGATGCTTCCCAAACAGCTTATATGTTTTCAAAAGGATGCTAGCTAGCCTTATCCAGATATGATCACCAACCAGGAAGCTCCACCTGAGCCTTAGGGCTCAGGACGCTTATCAACCTGTTGGCTATGATAGATTACGTCATGGTCTGGTTGCCATCGGATCTCTGGGTGGCCCTTCTTGGGTTTGGTCATCCCCGTTCATTAGCCTCAGGTGTTGACATGGCTTGAAAGAAACAAGAAAAAGGGCATTCTACTCGATGATTCCACATCTTGAAGATATCCAGAAAAAAATCCTTTTCCTAAATGGCTTTTGCTCCAGATTAACTTGTGCACAAACACACACACAAACACCAAAGATATACCCAAGTCCTAAATCCTTATTTGTAAGCATGATCGTGTTTGGCGTCTTCCTTTTTCTCTTAGTTAAATCAAATGGGGTCATAGCCTGAGTCCTGATTCTTGTTTATAAAAGAGAAGGGCAGACCAACAAAGCCACACATAAAGGGAGAGCAACGTGTGAAGATCTGTCGACAAGGCCAGGGAAGCCGAGAAAAGGCTGCGAGAAGCTGAAAAAGATGAGGGCAGCAGTTCTCAACCTGTGGGTCGCGACCCCTTTGGTGGTTGAACGGCCCTTTCACAGGGGTCGCCCGATTCATAACTGTAGTATTAAATTGTGAAGGGGGGTTGGGGGGTTAGGTGCCAGCCCCCACCCTCTACTACTACCCACGGGATCAGTAATGCACAGTTGTACGGTTGAGATATGTAAGTGTTATAGTAAAGTCATCAAGAGCATGAGAGATACAATAATGCAGTTATACACGTTACATGGTAGCATTGCTCACCTCAGCCCAGCTTGGTGGTCCACGTGGAGAGAGGGGGAAGGGAAGGAGGGCAGGGGAACAAGGGAGAGAGGTGAGGG